CATTCATGAAGTCTAATGATGGGTATACTGTAAAATCCAAGTTTAACGGAACCTCCGGCACGATTAGAACATCCATTGACCCAGCAGGAGACGACCGATTTTCAACTTTATCACACGTTTCAGCTTCTTTTTCTATTTTTTGGCCCACAGCATGCCAAGACAAATGGCGCCGGGTCGGCAAATCCCCGTATGTAGTGACGTCATGTGGGAACTATGTATAGAAAAAGAAGCTGAAACGTGTTAATGTCGTGATAAAGTTGAAAATGGTCATCTCCTGCTGGGTCAATGGATGTTCAAATCGTGCCGGAGGTTCCGTTAAACTTGGATTTTACAGTATACCCATCATTAGACTTCATGAATGTGAGAAGACTAAGCTTTTGTCAGAACAACCACGGAGGTTATGGCTTGCGAAGATAAACAGGCAAGAAACTCCCTCAAAACACGCAAGAATATGCTCGGAGCACTTTGTGTCAGGTGCGTATCGTATCTTATAATGTGTTGACAGACGTAATTTACTCAGTACTAACTTGTGTATGCTGATATCTGGTAACTTGAGAGTTTCATTATTTAGCGTTAGATTACTTTATTATGAGGAGGATCGGTGTCGCGTCCGAGGCTCTCGAGGGCAACGTAAATGTATTAAATAGATAATAATAGTTCTATGGTGGGCTAAAACAATGTTCACAAACAGCATTGCTTCTGTAAAAAGATCTGTGTCATAAAATAAACTGCTCTTTACGCCTGGAAAAATCAGTTGCCCACCATTCACCAAAACATACGGTCAAAAACGCGGAAATAAACAATAACAGCAATCCAGAGTGTCCGTGTGGCATTAGCATTAATTAAATTAATTGTTAATATAATTTAAAATAATTAAATGGAGCTCCAACTGGTATTAAATCTAAAGTTTTTGAGAAATGTTTGCATTGCTTGTTAATTTTTGCTGCATAATTTGATCAAATATGTAAAACATGTCCGTAGCACGTTAAACTGTGGTGCCATTGTATTAATATACAATTATTTGCTCAAAAGTTGCCCTTTTTTTTCCAATTTGCGTTTGAATATCTACATTTATTCTCATTCTTCTGTTTAATGGAATGCACAAACACAGCAGCGAGCCATCAAAGATGGCGTCTCCGAGGAGGTCATGTGACATTCATTGGTCTGCGGGAACTATGTATAGCGCCTTTAATGTCCAGTCATTTCCTCGTTCGTGGCAGTCGGTTTCAGACGGCTGCCCGGTGGTATTGGTATCGGTTCTGTTATTCAGGGTGCTTTCACACCTGTTGGTCCAGTAAAGTGGTTCGCTTGGGCCCTAAAGTTGTTACAATGTTGCAGTTCTCAACTAGTTCGGTTCTCATTCACACCAGTGTTTTTGCAAATGAATCAACCACTGTAGATGTTACATATTCCCACCACCCATGTGGTGGCGCTGTTCACAAAATACTGTGTATTGGATGACGTATGTGACTGTGCTACTCTGCGTTTTTTGGCTATTTTTTATCATCGTTGCTTTGTGCCGCACAAATACCGTTGTTCCAGTATGTATCGCGGATTCAGCACGAGAACAATCTGCGGGCGTTTTTGACGATTCTATCATGTAAAAAAACAATGTGTGTCAAAAAGTGAGCTACGCAACAGAGCAGGGCCACATTGAGGCCGGTCTGCGTTCTCACCAGCAGTGAACCAGACTGGAGTCCACATGGAACCGCACCGAGACCACCATATGGAGCTGGTCTCGGTGCGGTTCTTTAGTCCGGACCAAATTTAACTGGTCCACTTTCACACCTGCTCAAACGAACCGTACTTGCAGGTGTTCCAGACTCCAGTCCGCTTTAAGTGGACTAAATGGTGCAGGTGTGAAAGCACCCTCATTGTAATTGTGCACAATTATTAATGAATAAACTCACACTTTGATGGTTTTATAGCTCTTGGTTGTTTACATTATTTTTCCTCTCGGTCGGTACAGAATTTCAACAACAGAGTTTAACAGTCTTAACTTCTTCCAACTCCTTTTCGAGCTGACTTTTTGTTAATAAAAATACAAAAAGTTGTTGTGTTGTTGTTGTTCTTGTTTGCCATGGCTCAACATAAAGTATTCATTCATTCATTCAAAATATGAGGTAATTATTGTCTGTTTTTTTTATCTTAACCCTGGAACAAGCTGCCCCCTGGTCTGAAAGCGCTCAGTGATTTGGTCCTTTTTAAAATCAAAATGTATTTATTCAGACTGACTTTTAACACTTTCAACATTAGCAAACTTTTTTCTAATGCTTTTTGACTTTTATGCTTTGATTGCATGTATTGTTTAGTGTATTTTATGTGAGTTTAATGTAAAGCACTTTGGTCGTCATGAATGTCATAAAGTGCTATTTACATAAACATTTATTGATTGAATCTGACACATTCTGACTGTGTTAAAACAAGATTCTCCAACGGGACGAAGCCGTTTAGTCTTATGTCAAGAACTGATGCTTTTTTATTTTTATTTCAAGGGAGACATTTCTTGTATCTTTTTAAAACAAGATCATTTTGCTTTGTCCCGTTGGAAAATCTTGTTTTAGCCGATTAATGTTTCTCCATCCATTTGCAAGATCACCTTTTGGATTTACTTTAAGCTTGGAACTGAAAATATACAGTACCTCTTTGGGGAATCTCACTTGGTTTTAGTAAGTAATTAAGTAATGTTTATATATATAGCGCATTTTTACAGACCAAGGTCACCAAAAGCGCTTTTAGTCACTTTTACCATCAAAATCATCTCAACCATTTTGTAAAGGCTATTAATTTTAGTGGTTGAAAAAACAGCAACAAAAACCAAAAATAAAGACACACTAGTTGTGTTATTAGTGTCCTATATCTTAGAAAATAAAATAAAAAGACAAAAATGAAATTGCTTTCTTCAAAGCGTGAACAATATTATTACTATTGGTAGCTTTTCAGAATGATACAGTTTATTATTTTTGTTTGCTGCCACTGGACGCCTGAATCAATCTATATATCTATTTAAGGGTTAAAGCAGTTAAAAAGTGCGTAAATTAAGATACATTTTGCAAATTTCGAGCAATTTTGGCCTAATTTTTCCACACTTTTTGCAGACTTTTTAAACTAGGAGTAAAAAAAAAAAAAAAGAAAACATAAAACCACATTAGTTTTGTTATTAGTGTCCTATGTCTTATAACATTCAAAAAAAGAAATTAGATACTTGGCTTTCTTCAAGGAAATAAAGATACATTTTTTGCGTGAATTAAGATACATTTTTGCTACATTTTAGACATTTTGGCCTCATTTTTCCACACTTTCTGCAGTTGGCCTAGTGTATTGCCTGCTGACAATAGGAGATCAGCAGGTCCAAACCGCAGCAGTTCAAACAGACACGCAGCTTTGGCCCTAATCACAAAACAATGAACATGATGTGCTCTGTTTGTGTTTACATGCGTTTTTTTTTTTTTACCGTTCCCAAGCTGATTACACAATGGCGAGACTCACATGGGTGGGTTGCCAGTATCATTGAGGACATTCAGTTGTTTTTTAACATGAATGCCCCGCTCAGAACGGTCACTAAAACCCTGGAGGGCTTAGAGCTAATGAAGATTTAAAACTTGGTGAAACTTGTCAAGACGCCAGTGACCAAGGTTCAACTGTGGCTGCAGTAATGTGGGACTGTAATGTATTTATGTGCTAATAAAATCAATAAAAACCATTATGGATGAATAAAAATATGTTTGAATTATATGCAATATTTAGAAGCTGTCATCCTGCTTCTTATGGACCAATGGGTCCTGTGTGTTTGTTAATATTGCATTATTACTAGTTTTCTGATCTGGTGTTGGCGAATCGATAATTTGCAAAGTCCTCCGAGACCGCTGCTGTTATTTAGGGCGAAACACAAATACATTTAATTGACTGATTCAAAACATGAAGAAAAAAACACATTTTAAACTGCTTTTGTTAGACATATAAGTCATTTTTAACACTGATTGTTAAAATAATTGTACATTTCCATCTGGGTACCACAAGTAAACTTCTTCTTCTGCTTGAGTCTATTACAAGACTTCCTTGTTAATGTAAGACGCACACTCAAGAGAAAATCTAGTTCTGACACATATTTAAGTATTGTTCGATTAAAGCTGCGGTACCTTACAGTCAAACCAAAATTGGAACAAAATTCAACAAGTTGTTGTCTCTAAAACAGTTTTTCTCTCACATTAGTTTTCACATGTATGTAATTTTGGCATCAGTTATTAACCCAAATAGTAGTGATTTTTAGTAGTAGTGAATAGTGACTACATAACACTTCATTACAGGAAAGACCTACAACGATATTAACCAATTTTAGCATGTGTTAAAGGTTAAAACGGTATATATAAAATGCTTATTCTTTACAAAAAGCAATGAGAAACTAAAACTAAAACCTTTTTCATTTTTTTCAGAATTGGTTGGTTTTAAACACAAACAGAAGATATTTTTTTAAACAAACCTGTTGTGTGATCATGAATGAGTCGGAGGACATCTGCTTTTGTATGATGAGAATGTGAAGTGTTTTTAATTGTGTTAAAAGCTCTTCTAGGGACGGACATTTAAATCAGCCGTGGCCATAAATGTTGTGGCGTTTCACATGTTGCTTGTCTACACGTTAATATGTCATTTGTGATACATTTGATAACACCTAGAACTCCAACATTTTTCAATCGGAGAGCTACTTGTATGCAACAGAAGAGGCAGAGAGCTACTCCTTTTTGCAGTCGTAATAAACAAAACACATAAATACACCATAATACTGTATAACCCTATATTTATACTGATAATAGATAGGTAATGACTAAAAATATATTCATTCATCCTTTGTTAAATTCTAAATCCTTTGGGGAGTTACCTGAAACGGGCTGGTGAGCTACTGGTATGTTATTCTAGTCCTGAGAAAGTAGCTCTCTGGGTGAAAAAAAGGTTGGGGACCCCTGCCCGAGAACATAAGCAAGACACACTTTGTAATACTTTACCTTTCTGGACGTGGATGATGTCTGGGTAATTCGCTAAGTGTCCCTGGTACAGCCCCAACAAATCCATAATGGGGTCCAGGTCCTTGTTGGGCTGTTCTGCAAAGTACTCCCCGATGGCCTCGTACGCGTCCCCCGTGAAGGAGATGGCCTGGTTGAGTCTGGATGAGTACGGCTCCTGGTCCATGTCAAAGGCCTGGCTGAGGATTTTGAATGACAGCCCAACTCTCTGGTACTCCTTCTTGAAGCCTGAGATTTGCTTCCGGGCGAACTCATTGACCGTGGCATTGAGCTGCAAAGTGCTTTCGTCCATGCGCTTGGTGAAGGTCTTGAAGCCGTCGATTTTGCTCTCCACTTCTTGAAAGTCCAGCGGGGCGGCTGGCGGGCTGATGGCCAGGAAAAAGTTCGCTCCGACCATCTCGTCCTTCTCCGCCTTTCTCTTCCCCTGCTTCCAGGCCTTCTCGTCGGTGCTGCTGCAGGTGAGAAAGTGCTGGAAGACATCGCACCGAGCCAATACCGGGTGACTGGTCATATGGTTCATCCACCACATCAGACCCTTCTGCCTTTTGGAGATAAAGTCTTCTTCGAACCTGCCTGTCGCTTGCTTCTCTGGAATATGGGGGACCGAAATCACTGGGAACTTCTCAGCCAACCGTGCGTACAGCCAATCAAAGTGCTTGTACCTTCTGTTCACTTGGGTTTGAGTGTGCGTTGGGGAGAGTTTGTACGATATGTAACTCTTCATACCTTTGAATTTTGTCTGCTTTGTTGGGTCGTCGATCCCACAGGTGAATGGGTATGGATTCTCCTGCCACTCCGGCCCATATTGCCCCATCACAACACAAATCTTATCCCCGTCTTTGACAAACCCAGAAGCCTCACCAAGCACGAACGCCTCTCCACCTGACTTGACAAACGTGGAGAACCTATTGAGATTCCTACTCACGGTGGCTGAGCCTTTCCCCTGCGCGTTGCCTCCTCTATTCGCCGCGGTGGATAGACTATAAGTGGACGCACCGTTGCCTTCATAGTCTCTGTATCTCCCCACTGGTTCATCTGCAACCGTGGAGCTGTCATCCCAGTCGTCGTCCCAGTCGTCATCACTCCCCTGGCTCTGCTGGCTGTTGTACGCGTGGTTGGGCTGCTGCTGGATGGGAAGAGCAAACGTATTGAATGCATTCGGTTTGGAAAAGTTATCCCCTTTATTGGCTTTATTCGCAGAAGGATCAGTTCCTGCAGATGGTACGTTGGCGTAGCGTGAGTCCACATGCGTCTCCACAGATGTGCCGCTGCTGCTGCTGTTGTTGTTGTTGTGCGCGGAGCTGGCGTCGCCTCTCAGGACCTCCACATAGGACGCAGGGAACAGACCGCGCTCCCCTTTGCCGTTCACGCCTTCGAACCAGCCGTCGATGTCCTGCTGGCTGAACAAAGTTACGATCTCGCTCTCTCTCACCGACACCTCGCCCGGATTTTCGGAGTTGAAGTCGTAAAGCGCCCTGGCTTGGAGCGCCATGATGCACACCGCAGCAGCTGGAGTAAAACGGACCAGTGGCTAATGTGGATCAGTGGGGAATGGTCCAGAATTCCACCTCTTCCAGGACGAGTTTGAGCTGGAGAACCCCGCGGTGAGGTGTTTCGAGGTGCCGTATCGGAGTGAGTGGAGGACAGAGCGGGATATAACGGGATTGGAGCCACAGCAGCACGGGCCGCTCCTCGCGTCGGGCTCTGGAGCGAGTGTGCGCTCTGGATGTGCGCAGAGACAGCGCGTCATCAGGGCCCATCAGCGGGGGCGGAGTCAGGGAGCAGGCACCCCCAGCAGCGCGTCTGTGGAGCTATGTCAAATACTACTGCCACTACTACTACTACTACTACTGCTGCTGCTATTTCTACTACTGCTATTTCTACTACTGCTACTATTACTACTAATACTATTACTGCTGCTACTACTACTACTACTGCTACTATTACTACTAATACTATTACTGCTGCTACTGCTATTTCTATACTACCTACTATTACTGTTAATACTTCTAATGCTATAGCTACTACTACTACTACTGCTGTTACTACTACTACTACTTCCACTACTACTACTACTACTACTACTGCTTCTATAGCTAATAATAATACTACTACTACTATTGCTACTTCTACTACTACTAATTTTACGACTGCTACTACTATCACTACTACTATTACTGCTATGCCTACCATTAGCACTGCCACTACTACCATTACTAGTATTACTACTACTACACTGTTACTACTATTACCACCAATCGAGTATATAGTCATGGCTGTCAGACTGCAACTACTACTTCTACTACTACTATTACTGCTTCTACTAAGTTTAGGATATGTCCTGTATTTGATTTGTTCTTAATTATAACATTTAATATGAAATATATTAATTAATCAATTCTACATTTATAATATTATTGCTAGAGTCACACAATGTTCGTCTACATTTGATACAATAGAACAAACTAGACATGGTTTCAAAAATATTTTTTATTTCAAGAGCAATATTTTTCCATGAGTCATAAAAACATGTATCATGCCGTATCCTCAAGTTTTGGGAACAAGACACGGGCGTTTTGTTAGTCAATGCTGCCCCCTAGTGGCTCATGAAAGATGATAACACAGACTTCATTCAAATCAACAAAATCCATTTCTTTGTCTTTCCTTTAGAACCTGTGGATGGATGGATGGGTGGATGCCTCCAAAACAAAAGTAAAGCCTGCAAAAGGTTAAAAAAAATCATTTACTATAAATCTGCACGCAGAACAACTGTAAATTGTTTATTAACTATTTTCATTGTGTTTGAAATCAGGGCCTGGTTAGTTCTGTGATGGGAGACCTCTGGGAACACCAACACAGTCTATGGGAACACCAGGTGCCACTGTGGGGCGGCTGAGGCTGTAAAGTGCCAAACTGCCGCTGTGTCTATATGCAACACACTTCCCCCTTATAGGTCTGGTTTGTGTGTGAATGGTTGGCAGGGCAGCTGTGGCTACTGTAGTAGTTTATCACCACTGTGTATGGAGTAAATGAATAACGATAAACGATACGTGAAGCATCTTTGAGTGTTAATAAGCACTATATAAAACCAATGCATCATTATTATTAAAATATGTATTCTTTGTTTGTTTATTTACATTATCTTAAAATACTATAAGGTTTCTATTTTTTTCTTTTCTTCTACTACTACTACTACTGCTACTGCTACTACTACTACTACTATTACTACTACTCTCCTTACTGCTATTGATAATAGCAATAACACTTTATTTGTTTTCCACTTTTCATACATGTTTTTATGTTTCTATTCTTTCTTCAAATTTTTTATCCTGAATTTTAGAACAATGAATCAACAGGATGACTCAATATCGTACACCCCCCTCCCCTATGCAGGCTCAAAATAATAAAACAAAATTGAAAAATAAATGCCACATCGCTGCGTATTGTTCCCACATGGATAAAAGTAAACAACAACGGAGAAGTCAATAAAAAAATAACGATTGTCACGCGGTGTCAACAAAAATAGCGTCCATGTGTTTGGTCACGTGACAATCCAGGAAGCAATGTGGGTGACGTCAGTAGTTTCAACCCCGAACAAAAACACTCGCCCGAATGTGGTGATAAACCTGCCCTGGAGCCGGGTCTGCGAGCTGCTCTCCACCTCTAACAAAACAATACTATTCTCACATTATCCAGTACCTACCTTCACCCTGAGCTCTCCCTTGTTGCTTATCTGAGGGCGTTTTGGAGCACAAGGCAACACTAGGTCTGCTAGAGATCTTTTTTATTTTGACAAACTGAGGCGGGGAATACGAAGCCAAAAAGAACGACGAACGTTTCCAGGATTGAAACCAAACCTGTTTTTGGATTTGTGGCTGGTTTGGCGTAGCCCATGGATTATCTGGTGAGTAAATGCAGCGAGATTGTTGATATTTTGTGTATTTTTTGGGAAAGACTAGGCTTGTAATAATCTATGGTGAAAGCTGGGGTCTCTAACTTGTATGTGGCATGTAGTTTGTCCAAAAGAAATAGTCTTGCAAGTGGTGTGAACAAAATTAGACCAAATGCATGCTGTCTTCGTCTTGTTATCTTGTGCATACTTGTAAAAAGAGCCCTGGGAGTCGCTACTTGACGATTTTAGAGAGGGTGGTCTCAAAAAGCTGATCCAAAGATGTGACAGAGATGAAAAGATACATGCATGTGTGAAAACTAGTGATAGAAACACATTTTTAGCCCCATTTCCACCAACGCTACCTGACTCGGCTCGGCTCTACTCTACCTGGTTGTGTTTCCATTACGCTTTTGTATTTGGTACCATATCCTACCAACCTTCCCACAACACACTAGTATTCAGGGACATTCCTTGATCTCCATGGCTTCTAGACGCTCTCTGGCCAATCACTTTCTTTTTTTTTCATTCTTTATATGCATTATTTCAAGCTCTGACAACTCATAACAGATGACAATGACAATTCAGAACAAAAAGTCCTTTGCAACCAACACAAGTCATACATGCATCAATCAAAGGCAAGACAAAAGTAGACGGACAACAAGAATATCCAACGGACCGATATCCGTCTGGGCACTCACTCTCAGTTGGAACAGTATTAGCACCAGTTTGACCTGGATAGAACCAACTCGGCCCCATTAGAACCGGGGCAAAAAAGCACCTTCTACTGGTCCCAATCAGAGTAGAGTAGAGTAGAGTGACATGTACATTTCTCCATTGTGAGATCTATAAATTGTATCTTATCTTATGTAGGGCCTAGTGCAAACAGCGCTTTAGAGCAAGGAACTAGTAAGGTACATTTTTATCACAGATGTTTAGTGTTTTGAAACTTAGGTACCCGAGCTTTAACTACTTATTCAATGCAGAACTTTAATTCAATTCTCAAAACCCTCCAGCTTGTCTTCCCTTCATTTTGTTCTTCAATGTTTATGTTTATGTGTTTTATAGAGCGTTTTTGAGTGTCCCAAAAGTTTGATATATTATTATTATTATTATTATTATTATTCAGTGAGAATCCGTTTTGCTGCTACTGCTAACACAAACCTCCACTCTCTGTTTTCTGTCAATACTTTTGAGTGTGTCTGTAGTAAACTGGTCGACCCAGAGTCTGGTCTTAAACATGCGGAGAAGCCTCAGGTCGAGCTGGAGGCAGAGATTTTATTAAACCTAGAACTTCTTTTACAAGCTTTATCCCAAAATATTTGGTTGTTCTCTCTAATATTTTAGCTTGTTTGAGAATCCGTGCAATCCTCACCGCTTTAACCTTTATCAGAATCCTTTGTATTGCTATTGTAAGTAACAGGAAGTCCAGACTATGAATTTTGCTTTGGCTCATGAAGGAAACAAGTTATGAAAGTAAAAATAGATGTAAGGCATAAAGAATCTTTTGAGAATCTTTTAGAGTTACTTAAATTGTAAATCTGATCGCACATTTTATTGCGTTTTGTCAATGTCTTTCTGCCCTGAGATGTATTTGAGACTGGGAAAGACTGAGCATCGTTATAATAATACTAAGTGCTGCAGAGTCAAATACAAACATCAGAAAACACAAAGGGGTTAAAAGCTACAATACTGTCAACTAGTTATTAATCAAAAGAAAAAGTCACTAAAGTTAAATATGATTCTGAAACGACCTACCTGGCAACAACCTACTGTAAAACCAAAAGTTGTGGCTGAGTAACTCGCTCTACCCGTGTCTGCGTCGGTTTCCTCCAGTTGTTCCGGTTTCCTCCACTTGCTCCGGTTTCCCCTACCACATAAAAACAGGTAGGTAGAATAGGTAAAAATCCTCCAGCTCTTGTCATGACCAAGGGCTCGAGGTATCTAGAGATGGGTTCCTTAGCAGCATTGCAGGCAAAAGAAACTTTAACATAGACAAGAAAAGACAAAAAAGAGACGCAAAAAAACAGAAAAAACATAAAAAAGGATAAAAACCCCACAAAAAAGAGACGAAAAAGACAAAAAAACCACAAAAATGAGATAAAGACAACAAATTACAAAAACACCCACAAAAAAAAGACAAAAAAGACAAAAAAAACACAAAAAAAGAGACGAAAAAGACAACAAAACCCACAAAAACAGAAACAAAAAAGACAAAAAATTACAAAAACACCTACAAAAAAAGACAAAAAAGACAAAAAAATACCAAAAAAAGAGACAAAAAATACAAAAAAAAACACTAAAAAAGAGACAAAAAAGACAAAAAAATGACAAAAAAGTGACTAAAACAATAACTTGTCATAGGACTAATATGAATTCAAATCAAATGCATTGTCAGGGTGAGTTTTCCTTGACTTTCTTGCTATAACTTTTTGTGTCTCTCCCATTTCTGTTGTGTCTTTGTGTTTGTTTTGGTCCATAACCTTTTTATTTGAACGTGAACAGAACATGCAGTAGTAATATCTCCTTTGACGTCTTTCTAGAACAGTCCTTGGCGCAGTTTCAAGCCCCGACGTATGGACACAGATAGTGCTTTCTTTAGGCGTGGGAAATATCATCTCTATCTGTTTTAGCAGAAATGAAAGCTGGAGGTTTTCCATTGATACTACATGTTTTTTATCCTGATAAAAGTTAAATGTCGTGAAGAAATCAGGCTACAACATTCTGTGCTGATCTGAGTAGAAAACAACGCTTGTGAGAAAGAGTCCCATGAGTCACTATTTGACGCTTTGGGCTGGGATTGGCTGAATCGAGAAAACAAAATTGATTCTGTTCAGTATCGCAATATTTTACCAATACTCAATCAACTCGCTTTGGTGTTTTCTCTGTGTTTACTCTTTGATACTACATTTAAGACTACTTTACTTTCCGTCTGAGGTCTATGGGACTCTATGAGGTCTGCTGTTTTGGCTCTAGTCGGTTGTATGTGAATAATATAAGTGATGCAGGGAGCTCTCCTTCATGAAAGAGTCAGAGAATGATAATGTCTTGTCTGTAATAAGGTCCTGTGTCCTAAATGTTCAAGGAAGTTTCTGCTTCAGTTCATGTGCAGACCATAAGATTCAGATTCATTTTATTAGCCATGTGCAGTATAAAAACTACATTGGAATACATTTGCAAAAAAGGTACTCTGTGTGCACCGACAGACTAAAGAGCACGATACAATATAATATAAAATACACATACACTGAAAATAAAAGAATAAAAAAACAGCTGACACTGTGGCACCAATCAACAAAAACGATACAAGGGGTAAAAGCAGGAATTAAAGTGCTCTGTTTAGGCACCTAACAGCTTGTGGAAAGAAGCTGTAAGCATAGCGAGATGTCTTGCATCTCAGTGACCGATATCTTCTGCCAGAGGGAAGAAGCTGGAACATGGCTTTCCCAGGGTGGCCAGAAGAGTCATTGATGATTTTAAGAGCTCTGTTTAAAAGTCTGGATTTGTAAAGAACCTCCAGAACAGGAAGCTCACAGCCCACAGTCCTCTTTGCAGAGCGGAGCACCTTGTTTAACGCTCTCTTTTCTTTATCTGTGATGTTTCCGAACCACACAGACACAGAACCAACAAGTAAACTCTCAATAGTGCAGCGATAAAAGTTAAGCAGAATCTTAGAGTTAGTGGTAAATTCTCTAAGTTTCCGCAAAAAGAAGAGACGCTGACGAGCTTTCTTAACGACTCGGTCAGTGTTTTTAACCCATTTCAGGTCGTTAGACAGAGTTAAACCCAGAAACTTGCACTCCTCTACGATCTGCTCCTGGGAGTTGTCAATAACAACAGGAGTGTGAGAACTGCTACGACTGAAGTCAAAGACAAGTTCACATGTTTTTGCAGTGTTCAGCTGGAGATTGTTTACTTTACTCCACTGAAAAACATGTTCGATCTCTGCTCTATAAGAGGAATCATCATTGTCACTGATGAGACCGATAATGGTGGTGTCATCAGCGTATTTGATGATCAGGTTTGAGTCAGAGGAGGACACACAATCGTGAGTGTACAAAGTAAAAAGCAAAGGACTCAAAATACATCCCTGGGTGTACCAGGTTCACAGAACCAGTGCTCACAGAAACAACATCAGAAAAACAGTCATTGATTTTTACTCTCTGAGATCTGTCAGTTAAAAAGCTAAAAATCCATTTACACATGGCAACTTTCAGACCAAGGGACATTAGTTTTTCAACCATTATGCTTGTGACAAGACAATTAAAAGCAGAGCTATAATCAATGAACAGCATTCTCGCGACAGATTTACTAGTGTCCAAGTGACTGTAGACAGAGTTCAGAGCAAAGGAGATGGCATCCTCCACACTCCTGTTCTGTCTGTAAGCAAACTGGAGCGGGTAAACACTCACAGGGATCTGGCTCTTAATGTGATTGTCTGGAGTTTGTCAGAAAGAGAGACAGAGAGGTACTTGATTTGAAAAAAACGGCACAAGCTCCCTCCCCCTTCCTTTCTGATTGGTCTACACCTACGTTTCCGTAACACTTTGAAATGTTAATCAGAGAACACATTATACATATACATTATTAATACACATGCACGGAGGTTTTCAGAATTATTTGTGAACGTTTTAATGAAAAAAAATAATGTTTTTATGCACAAAAAAAGCGATCGCGGCAAACCAGGAAGTGCTATTATTATGAATTGCACATTATAGGACACATCTGCAGAGGATCTGATTATGGATATAGGTTTAGTATATACATGGGTAAATCAGCGCGGATGTTCAGAATTCTTTGTTCAGTTTTCATGTAGTTCCAGAGCCTGAATCGGCGCTGATGCTCGCAACTGAGCATGCGCGCAGCTGCGAGCATCAGCGCCGATGATTGACAGCCCTTGGCATGACTCGATTGGTTAACCTCGACGGCACCGTGGATTCTGAACTATAGCTAAGAGCAGGGAAGGCGGGACTTGCCCGTAATATTAGAATTAATAAAATGACTTATTTTATATC